AAAAAAACAAAACAAAGTTAAATCAGCAAATTAAATTAGAATTAAAATAATAGATTGATCCCAACTCGAATCTTTGTTCAGATTATCGTAGCGAACACAGTCGTAATGACAGTAGCATGCAATGGGAAAGATGTAGGATTCAGGATCAACTCGTACAGGGGCAAAACTGTAAACAACCCATATTTATTAATGGTTGGCAATGTGAAAGAAAAAAACGAACACCGATACTTGATCAGTCATTAGACTCGTTACACTAGCCCCTGTTTGACACCCATTTTTTATCTCATTCTCATTCTCATTTTTCTACAGAACTCATTTCTACCCACACATTCTTCAAATAAAATAATATNATAGCTCGAGGGGCTTAACCCCTGTTTGACATCCATTCTCTTTCTCATTTTTTTTCTCTTTCTTCATTTCAACCACACATTCTATAAATAAAATAATATTACACATAAACTCAAAAATTCTTCTTACTTTTTAATCACACATTCTTTACATCAATCACTATTCAAAAACTCATTTTTCAAAATAATGGGTGTCAAAACGGGGCCATGTATTTACAAAAATGAATTTTCGACCTACATTTCCCAAAATACCCCTACTCGGTTATTGCACTCAACCTCGCCGCAAACTTCCCTCTCCTCCCACCACCACTCCTCCGCCTACTCACAGTATCACCACCGTCCCCCACTTTCCTTGAAGGCGGTTTCAGCCCATTCTCGCCTGGAAACACGAAGACATGCCTCCGGCAACCGCACTTCTCACTGCAACCACTCTTGGCCAACGCCGAGCTGGCTTTCACAGCCAATGCAGCCATTTCCTCCGCCTGAAGCCGTTGCTTCAATCGGCTCAACGGTAAAGCGAAGTAAAGTTGACCCGGCTGTAATTCCTCGTCGTCACTCACAGCTGAAGCAACGTCGTTGAAATCCATTTCGTCGGAATCACAGATGAAATACGTAGGGTTTCTTTGTAATACATAAGAAACCTTTACAGGATATGGGAATTCCTGCAATCTTCCATCGTAGAATATCAGTTTCGCAGTGGCTACAGACGTAGCTTCACAGGAGCTGCAAACTCCCATTATTTTACCCTTTTTGTGTATGAAAGTGAACTTAGAAGAAACTAGAGAAGCTATATATACACACACGTACACGCATAGGTGGAGTGGTGGAACGTTGTCGTTTTGAAAAACAAAGAAATTTGTTCAATTTTAACAGTAAAATGTAAAAACTTTTAAATAACGTGAATGTTTGGTAAATATTAAAATCTAATTAAAGTTGAAAATATAGTCGTTATTGAATCTCACCCTTCTGATAAAAGTCAACAATAACATCTAGTTTTTCAATTTTAATCTCTACCAAACACGCTCAAAGTCAATCATCATCAAATTCGATATTATAGTAAATGCAAAATCTGAGTCTAAACATTATCACTTAATTAAAAATCAATATATAATTGATAAATTAATCTTTTTGTACAAAAAA